AGAGAGAGAGAGAGAGAGAGAGAGAGAGAGAGAGAGAGAGAGAGAGAGAGAGAGAGAGAGAGAGAGAGAGAGAGAGAGAGAGAGAGAGAAGAGTTGCAGGCAGTGTTGACGACGGAGAAAATGGCGACGACGGAGACCAGGAGCACCACGCGCCATGCGGGAGCGCGTGGCGACAGGTGCGACTGGGCGTGCCTGGGGGGTGGAGGCGGGCGTCGAACAGAGTTCCCTCCCGTTGCCCCCCATTCGACAGGTGTCAAACGGAGTTGGCCTCGTCCAGCCGCCGCTCTACCTTCGTTTTCGTTTTTGTCTTATATAGGAGGGCGGGGTGCGGAGTGGATGCGGAGAGGGGTGACGGCTGGAGGCGGGGGGGGGTGTTCTTAGGTGGGTTGTTTGGTGCGTGGGTGTTGGGGGAGGGAGCACATTCACCGTAGGAGAGGGGGGGGGGGGGTTGGCTCTATTTAGAGAGGTTTGTGACAATCAGGGGGTGTGTTGTGTCTATGGGGTCTATCAGGGCCGACGGGGTAAGAGAAAAAAAGGGGGTTGGGGGAGAGGGGATTTAGGGGTGTTGTTTCTAAAGGGATTCTCTTGGGACCGTATGAAAATGCCTCGCAAACAGGCTCGGCATTGTGAGGACCCCCCCGATGACGAGCACGTGGCTTGGCGGCGGAAGAGTGTCATCTACGAGTACCTTACAGCGGGGCAGGCAGCGGGGGACAAGGGGGTGCACATTTCTCCACTGCAATTTCTGCATGCATGTTTAATCGGCGCGAGGTACGTTGCTGTGAAGCACTTCACGCAGAAAAACTACTGCTTGAAGATTACTGACACAGCTTTGTTTGACATCACGGTGTGATGTACGTACCCTTTTGAGGGGACACGGATGGAGCAAGTGCAGAGGCACGCGGAGGAGCACGGCTTGGACCCCACCGGTGGTGGGGGGGGAGGCGGAGGGGGGCAATTGGGCTTGTTCAAGGAGGAGATGGGGGTGGGGAGGGCAACATTATCGGCGTGGATTGGGAGGAGGGAGAGCGGGGAGAGGACGCCGGCCAGGGTGGGGACGATACGGAGGTCGGGCATGACGTTGACATGGGTGGGAGGTCGTCGTACCCAGCGACGGCCAAGGGGCCTGTGGCTGATGAGCATCGCGCGGCGGGTTTTTGGAGGGGGGCCGCCGACAGAGGCTGCTAAGGGAAAGAGGAAGGTCGGCGAGATAGACGTTGCACCACCGAGGGCGAGAAAGATGAAGCAACAATGGGTTGACAAGGTGTACGGCAGCGCATAGACGACCGAATTCAAGAATCTGAATCTTTGGTGGGTGTATTCCAGTGGTGTCACTTTCAATACCTTTTGTGGTCTGGCATGGAGAGGTGTTAAGCAGTGCCTCATGAGGCAGCCTGGGAGCAGTCTACGAATTGTGGCGGCGAGCCACAGTGAGATACCTAGCATGGTGGTGGTCAAGATACAGCCTCAGGGTCTTGTTGACGAGTTGGAGGAGGTCCGCCAACCTCTTGATGTGATGTTCGCCACCATCCTATCTGACGGGAAGAAATCACGAGATGGGAGACCTATCATGAGTTTCCTCGTCGTCGGATCTCGAGGGGTCATCGTGTATCGGACGATCAATTGAGAGGGTGAGCACGACGATGCCTTGCATGTTCTTCAGCAACGGCTGAAGATCTTCAAGGCCTTCATACCCGACCGAATCAATAGTATATGCACCAATTCGGTGATTGCTTATATGTCGGCTGTGCGGGCTCTTGCTAGTGACGATATCCCCTTTGAGTTCAGGAGGATTACTTAGCTTCCCTGCTCAGTCCATGTCTGTAACAAACTGTTGTTAAACATGGGCACGAAGAATACGTGGGCGGTGGATACCATCGTGAGGGCGAGAGCGATCATGCGGTTTTTCAAAATGCATACGACCGCCGTGCATTTTTTTAGGAGTGGAGTAGGGGGATTGGTCTCATCATGTCTTGTGAGACCCGATTCTCATTTGTGTTCTCTATGCTCGACCGTCTCTACATTTTGCAGGAGACAATGCTTACGATGTTCACGGGAGAGAGTTCCAAGGCGTGGACGAGGATCTCCTGGGCCTGGGGAGTGTGGGAGCGGTCGTTGTGACGGACCCGCCGAGATGGCAGTCCGTTTAGATCAAGATGAAGGGATGAGGATGAGGGAGATGGCGATGGAGTTGGAAGGGACAATGCAGCTCCGAAGCAGACTCCACACACGGGTACTCCAAACTGTGCAAATGAAGAATGAATTGAAATACAGATTGCAGTTGGGGTATACGCCCAACGGACTGACTAGATTGGACTGGTACAGACGGTGGTACCGGATGGGATTGGAATGAATACTTACATAGTCTGTGGGGTCAGGCCAACAACCTGGTCCCACAAGCCGAACAGACAAATAGTTGAATAACCCTGGTTGTAGGCCAAGGCAAGAAGAGGCCCGTTACACGATCCTCTGACATGTAGTGGATCACAAGAGTCATAAACACGTTATCTGCAAAAGCAGTTGAACTCTGTAACAATACACAAAAAAATCTAGGATGCGGAGCAAACTCCATATAGAGTCCATGCAATGCAGCCAGCCTAAGCTACATGATGTCATAAAGAAAAGTAAATTTTCGATATACACATCCTAATTAGCAGCAAGAAATGAAATCTGGCATGATACAATCCTAAAACCATGGAGGCAACTGCCTCAATGCTCAAAGGAAAAGATAGCAATATAGCACAAGATAATGTTGTGTCACTGAACCATAGGGAGAGGGATGGTCTCGAGGGGGTGAATGCAGCCTAATAGTCAACTCCTAGGGGCAGTCACGTGCAAAGGTGGGAGAAGGAAACAAAACAAAGCCAATGACTCTAACAGAGAGACCATCAAAGCGGGTAATACTCCACAAAAGGGTGACACCATGCATGGTCGACCTTGAAAGGGGAACCTTGAATAGGTGAATATCCCTAAGTAAAGGCATGCCATAACCAACACTAGGG